ACTGGGCTCTCCAAATACACGTCAGGAGTCATGTATCCCCACAAATGAAGCTGTGGAAGAAAGTCACCTGTTGGGCATTTTATTGTTTAAAGGCAGCAGTTTTGTAGGCTCTGAGTGTATGCAGGCATGTTGCTAGTTTGGTTTCAAGAGTAGCTGATATTGCTATTAGATTACAGTGACAATTGTTTTGCACAGTAAAGATTTATTGCAATAGTTCAAAGTTAATGTATTTTAAAATATTAATGAATAATAATATTTAATAATATATAATATATAATAATATTTTATTGTAAATAGTGTGTGCTTCTTTTCTGTTACTTGTGCATAAACTTGTCGTACCAAGAGTATGGATTTTTAAAACAAGCTATTAGAAAGTTTATTTATCTAATTTAATTCAATAAGCATTTCCTTTTGTAGAAGGCTGGTCCTGCTGTTAACCTTCTTTTTGTTTTTAAAGTAAATAAAATATTTATATTACATATTCATCGTGTTTTGCTCTCTTTTGCATGTGCATACTCTTGCAAGCACACACAAACACATCCTACAGTGAAAGTGAAGCAAGTCAAACACTGGAGGGCACTGGTGTGTAAAGATTGCAGGCAGCTGAGGCGTCTCAAACATACTGAAGATCACACAAACTGTATCTTTATATCTGACACTTGTAGGTTTAATCCACAGTTGTTCATTTTAGACAGTGAATAAATCAGCAGTTTGTATAGCAGCAGATTAATAGAGCAGGGGCTTCCATCAAATGGACTGCAGCAGATCGATTTTACACTGTAGTTCAACATGAAAGAAAAAGGAAGTTGAGTTTAGACGACTGATGACTGTACCTGTGAATGACACAATAACAATTCAGCTTTTTTTTCTTGCCCGACTTGACTTTCAGCCCAGAGTATATTTGCATTTTATTGGCACAGGAAGTACTGGGAATAATTCTCACCATTGTTTAAAAGCCTACAGACTGAAGTTTCTCTAAAAAAAAAAAAGATGTTGGTGGAGTCAAATCACAGGAATGTTTATCTCCAATCGCTTGTGCCAAGAAAGTAAAAGGTTAGCAGAGAGGACAAGATAAACTGCTCTACATCTCGTTTCTGTGTCCTGCAATGTCAGGTTTCTCTCTCTGATTGTAAGGGAGAGATAGAGACTGAGAGAAAGTTGAGGTCATAAATGAACAATATTGTTTGTACAGCAGAGATGCTTTTTAATTATTGAAGTGCTCAGAATTACAATTTCTGCATAAAAAACATGGTAAGCAAAAAATAAAGGTCCAATGTGAAACATTTAGGAGGATCTATTGGCAGAAATAGAATATAATATTCATAGGTTTGTTTTCATCAGTGTACAATCACCTGAATATAGAAAACATTATGTTTTTGTTACCCTAGAATGAACACTGGATCTTTAAAATGTAGGCAGATCACTGGGACAAAAAAACTGGGTCAGAGTGAAAGAAAGATACAAAATGAAAGTGAATTAAAGATACGATATAACGTGGCTCTTTGTTAAACATCCCCTCCAGACATCTATTATGACATAGACAAATTCTCTGTTTGGAACAATAATGTGTTTCTGAGGACAATTTCCACATTAAAATCCTTAAAAGGTCATCTGTTCTAGAAATGAAATCATACAGAAATATGCCAAAATCCATAAATATGCAAGATGTCTCCTACATGTGAAAACATCCTTCTAGTGTCAAACTCTGCACATCCATCATTCTGCACAGTGAAGCTCAATTATCCAACCGTAGGAACAAGAAGAAAAACATATATATATTTTTATTATTATATTACAATACGTAATATATTATTTATTGTATGTATATCTTTCTTGTATAGTCAAGTATCTATTATAAATATGTTATATATCATATCATATCTTGTATATATATGTACAAATTATATATACATATAATTATTATTATTAATATTATTATTATTATATACTGTTATTAACAATAAGACTACCCTTCATATCATCAGTACTATTACCACCATCTTGCAACTACAACTTCTTTGCATTATCTATCTATTTGTCTTTTTTATCTTTTCTACCTCAGTATTTTATTCTATTGTTGTATTTTATTGTATTTAAATGTACCTGGCTGCTATGACGACCCAATTTCCTTTGGGGATTAATAAAGTCTATCTATCTATCTATCTATCTATCTATCTATCTATCTATCTATCTATCTATCTATCTATCTATCTATCTATCTATCTATCTATCTATCTATCTATCTATCTAATGTGCTTATAATGACACAATGCTGATATTACATGCAGATGTATGATTTGCGATGTTCATCATCTTTGTTTAGGATTCTAACATTTGCTAATTAGGAATAAAGGAACATCCCTATGTTGTCTGATATCCTATATTGTCTGGTATTCACTAAGATGATCAGAGATCGAAATCTGTCTTCATTGCAAAAGAGCAAAGGGAGATGGATGTTTCAGTTGGCAGGTTGAATGGCAAAAAATTTTCATCACCTTAACTGAGGGTCTGAGGACAGAAGATGTTGAATGTTGTGCTGATTGTAAAGCTCCCTGAGACAAATTGTGATTTTGGGCTATATACATGTAATTTGACTTGACTATAAAACTCAAAGGTCATATTAAGAGGATATTGAGCTCCCCTGTAGACAAAGTACAGCTGAATCCTATGGGAATGTCATTAATTTTGCATGTGTTTAGTCATAAACCAAAGTATTGGACAACTTTACCTGCTGATGGTGCTATAGATGAAAAGTCAGGAGATATCCAAAGTTATTACAAGGGGAACATGAATGTGTGTACCTAATTCCACAGCTATCGATCAAATAGCTGTTGAGACATTTAACTCAAAACCACAAATGTCGAGCTCATAGGGAAGTCAGGGGATCATAAGTTGTTAGGATTCATCCTCTGGGGATGATGCATGTCTGTATGAATGAAAATCCATTGAATAGTTGATATTTCAGTCTGGAACAAAGTGGTGGACAGTGTTATCTGTAGATCCACGCTGCCAGCATGGTTATAAATCCATTAGACTGTTTCCCTGTATCGTCACAAAGGATGCTCTTTGTAGTGGTTTCTTGGTATATAGAGCACCGATGTATACAATGCAGTACATGACCTTTAGTGCACAACACCAGCTGTGTGCATACAGACAAGTATGCTTTTGCTTATGCAGTGTTAAGAAAAACTATTTCTGGGTATTATAGCAGCAAGAAGCGACTGTGTATATCCATATGCAGCACTGCACAAATGAAAGTAGTTCTACTAAACATGGTTCTGCTGCAGATCGTCACGTCTTGTCAGACGACTTATGATTCCCAGGAAAGTCTCAGTGTGGAGCAGCGAGTGTTTACGCGTTCAGTTGTCCACTGACTCACACCTCTCTGTCTAATACCCCATACCTCCAACACCCACACCCCTCCCAAAAAAAGACACATGCCACAGGAAAACTAAGCACGACTGCTCCAATCATGACAACAAATTGATCAGTGCAAATACATTTACAACAACAACACAGGGAGATCTAAGGTAAATTGTAGTGTAATCATCTGAGCATACTTTGTTGCACTGAGCGACCACAATCCAACTGGTCACTGCGTCCTTATTGAAAGCATACTTCAAAACCTCTCCAAGCAACATGCTGCAATGCTTTCTATCAAAGTCTGTTTGGACAAGTCCACATATACAGATAGTCCACAGCAGCGCTACTAGAGCCAATCATAGTCCGTCTCATTCCCCCTCAATTATTCACCACGACCAGTTTACTTTACTGCTCCTCCACTCTGCCTCAGTCCATATATGGATTTGAGATGCTGTGAGTATGATTCTTACTCCTCTTTAAGGACAATTCCTAAGGAAGAGGAGAGGAGAAGAGAGGAGAGGAGAGGAGGGCAGGAACAGGGTATATTCTAACCAGGTGGACCAGAGTGTCCAGTGTCTCTGGTTTGGATCGCAGCCGCTTCACTGCACCCACATTAGACACACACACACACACACACACACACACACACACACACACACACACACACACACACACACACACTCACACTTGCACAGAGGGGTCTCTTGGCTGCAGGCTCTTTGGTCAACACCGGGTCTCAGGGGTATAAATACTGCTGTTTTTGATGCTGGGATCTCTGGTTTCCCTAACACAGATTCAGATCTGAGGAGCAGGGACAACCCTAACACACACACACACACACACACACACAAACACACACACACACACACACACACACACACACACACACAATCACACACAATCACACACTTACTGTGTAGGATAAATCTGATTCTTTCCCTTTAATGCATTCACAGATTCAAGTGCAACCTGTCAGGCAGGTGTTAAACCAGTGGGACAGCCAAGGATCCTCTGTGTCTAAAGAAAAGAAGTTGGGGAAACTGTGTGTGTGTGTGTGTGTGTGTGGCCACGGTGCAGGATCTGTAAGTCTCCGTCTGTTAGAGAGACTCCTTCTCTCAGCTGCAGCCAGCAGCAAGCTGAATCCTTGGTCTTTATTTAGACCTGGACATTTAGGCCTGGAGACATGAACTCCTGACCCACCTTTTAATGAACATAGATCATGTGTCAGATGCAGGTTTGAAGCTTCATAAAATAAAAAAGACCACCAGTTTCCTTCAACATTACAGGCACTGGTGCAGCTCCTCATCCCATCTCCAGTGTCCTCTATGGGGGTTCATGGATGTGAAGTTGACCACAGAGCAGCCTGACAACCTTTCCCTGTTGTAGATATTAGCCCATCTGCCTCTGCACACACATCTTCTCCCATATCTCATCACAATCTAGTTACCCCCAACACTTTCCCTTTTTGGGGCCACTGGCATGCATGACGTAATTTTGGAAGTCACTTGCTGTGTGTGTGTGTGTGTGTGTGGAGGCTATGATGTGTGTGTGGGGGAGTTGGAGAGGGGGGAGATGAAGCGTCAGCGCGCACCACCACCAACCCGCTTGGCAGCTGTATTCCTTCGCTGTGATTGGGCGGAGGGCGGCGATTCCTTCTGTCACGACTTGGGTCGCTCCCACCGGAGGACACCGACCGTCTGAGTCCAGCCTTTACCGAGGTGCTTTCATTACAGGAGACGGCGCACACCGGGAGGGGAGACGCATGAGGGTTTCGTCCCAGGTGCTGCACTGACAACTCGGGATTTGTCCTCCTCCTGCCTGTGTCGGTGAGGAGAGGAGGGAGGAGAGAGAGAGAGAAAGAGGGGGGGATCATCAGTGCTGGAGCGACCAGCCGCCTTTTCTTCTATCGGAGCTGCGGTAAAAAGTCGTTCACGATGCCGGTGTTTCACACCAAGACCATCGAGAGTATCCTGGAGCCGGTGGCCCAGCAGATCTCCCACCTGGTCATCATGCACGAGGAGGGGGAGGTGGACGGTAAAGCCATCCCGGATCTGACGGTGCCGGTGGCCGCGGTGCAGGCGGCTGTCAGCAACCTTGTGCGGGTGAGTTTGAACCAGGGCGTCAATTCACCAGAACCACATAAACCAACATTTATCATCCAAAACTTCCAGAACCGGCTGAAACCGACATTTATGGAGACAAACTGGTGCAATGACTGGTGTAGCTTTTATTTAATCAATGTCATAAATTATCAGAATAGCAGGTCATCAGCCTGCCCTGCACATAGAGCAGTTAATTATGTCTCCGTGCGGCTTCCAGATAGATTTATGGCAACCCTATCTTGATCTTTGCTCGCCATTAAAATGATATAAAACTCCCATACACCCAGCTGACGCTCATGCGTGCTTCACGAGCTCCTGCAGTAGTTTTTTTTTATTATTATTGTGCGCGCACACACACACACACACACACACACACACACACACACACACACACACACACACACACAACACAACACAGCAACACAACAACATGACAAACTTTGGCCCCATTGATAATCAGATGGCCGCTGAGCTTAATGAAGTTTGTGGGGCGGAAGAAACGAGTGTTGATTGAATTAACAGGATGCGTGTTTCTCTCTCTCTCTCTCTCTCTCTCTCTCTCTCTCTCTCTCTCACTCTCTCTCTCTCTCTACACACACACACACACACACACACACACACACACACACACACACACACACACACACACTGTGATCAGTTAAGAGGGAAATGTCACTTGTACAAGAGGGAGGGGTTCACTGTAGGTTTCTCAGCCTCTTTAAACTGAGTTAGATTATGGAATAATTTGCTGTTTGTAATGAATTTAAGAAACTTCATAGTAATAACCTCCAGAGAGAATAGATACTCTCTTTAGTCATTCATCTGACTCCCATTTCTTCCCTTCATCCAGTAACTCCTAGTTTCCTCCCTGCAGTCTCTTTTCCACAACTTTCTTTGAGCCCTCCACTTACCCTGTCTAATTTCACCTCCTCTGTCTCGTTTGTTCTCTGTCATTTTGAGTCTAAATGGTCATTTTGTACCAAAAGAAGCAAAGCTTCGGTCAGACTGATGTCTCCTCTGTATGCACTGACTGGAAAAATCAATACGGGCCACATCATTAATGCTGCTCCGAGGTCACTGTTATTGATGCCGGGGCGACACTCACTCATTGAAATCAGCAGCAGAAACAAGCAAACACTTTATTACACTTGCTTAAACTTCATAATTATTGAGTGTGAGAAAAGAAGCTGGTTGCATGTTCAATTTGAGCCAGAATGTGCATTAAAGTGTGGGAGGTAACACTGGGTGGAGCAGACTTGATCATGATGCCACAAACACTGTTAATGCAGGTTGAGTGTCAGACTGAGGAGCTGTCTGTGCTCTGTTTAGTCTACGTCTTTGTTGAGCACCTCTGCAGTTTTAATTGCTTTTGTTTGGTTTTTTTTGCTTTTGTACATTGATGCATCACATTAGTGCTGCTCTTCTGGCCATTAATCCTCTGTGTGTCTTCACTAGGTCTACCCTTTTTGAAATGAAGTTTAAAATTGTTATGTTAATATTATACTTGGATGTTCAGCAGGCACCAAGATTTCTAAACTGCTGACTAAATCCAAAAGTATAAAGTACTGGATGAATGCATTTTATGATATTACTCAGCATGTGTAAGGATAAACAGAAGGATTTTTAAGTGAGATAAATACATTTGGATTATGCAGTTATGCAAAAGGTAATTAATAGTTTTCACAGTTGGTGTCCGCCTTGAGTGTTACACATCAGTGACTGAAATATGTTCCATTATTTTAGTTAGAGTGGTCTGACATCCTGAGTGTGGAAAAAGATGGAATCCATTTAACATGTTAAGAAATTAAATGTTACCCTGCAAAACAAAATACACAAAATGTAATGGACAGTTCACACAAACATAGATTGTCTCTCTGTCCATTCTGATAGTTCTGGAGGGATTTTCAGCGGTTTTTAGACGTCACATGGAAACTATGTGAATGAATAGTGCACACTCAGTACGAGGAAACATTTTTTATAGTGATTGTTACTTTATAAATACCTTACAGTGAATAAGGCGTTGTTTTTTGTTCTGTCGTCAAAGTTTTGAGTAGTCCTTGCTGCTGCCTCCCTGCAAGGACGCCAAGATCATTTTGATAAATATCTCATTAACTGATAATAAAAAGGGCTACTCAGTTTGAACTCAAACACTGTGGCATGTTTTAATGGAAAAAAATCCCTTTTATGCAATACCATCCAGTCTTTGATATCCCATTACTACCGGGCACACCTCTCGGTCTCTCTCTATTTCTCTAAATGTCCTTGTTGATCCATTCAGTCGCTCCATCCAGACAGTGAGCAGAAGGAGGCTAATGGCAGCCTCAGGCATGTCGCTGGGTCTCAGATGGAGATGCGAGACTACAAGGAGAGATGAGGGCCGAGGACACAGTGACACTGGAAGGTGTCAGACAGAGAAAATGTTGTTAGGATGGGAGGGACTCTATAAGGCGGATGAATTAAAAAATACCAGACCAAATACCATTAGAGGAAAAGAAGGATGCAATAAGAAGTTATAAATGCCGTCAGCTCCTGTCTTTTCCTTGCGTTTAAGATCGAGGGCTCTCAGACACTCTGTATAGCAACACAGATAAATGCCTACACATGCTGTTGAAGAAGAAATGATGAGTAGTCGTGTAGTTCATTGACAGAGGAGTTAGCGCTAAGAAGTGGGTGACGAGAAGGTGTTGAAAGAGAGCACAAAAGGTGCTTGAGAACAGAGCTTGTAAAATCAGCAGTGGTCAGTTGCTGGGTAGATAAACTTAATTGGATGTAAAGGACACCTAAAGCTGCGATACAGACACTTCTGAGCATGCATGCTTTATTTTAGAAAGCTGATTCATTTCTACACCTGCGCAGTTTGAGCTGAGATATAACATAGTATACAGCAACATGCCACCATCCCCACAAGAGTCCCACTGCTCACTGATACAATTACACCGTTAACCCCGTGCAGGGTGGGCTGACTGCGGGGGGTACTTAAAATCTAGGTCACCAAGACACTTAGACACGCACATACACACAAGATGGTGTCAGTCTCAATCTGTCAGAGGTTGTGCGTGGGTTGACGCTGATTCAACTAAAGATCTGAAAGATGCTGCTGGTGTGTTTGCTTGAAAGTGTGAGCTGCCTCTGTGGTGTTTTGTGAAGTATCTGCTCCTGAAGGAGTCAACATAGATCCTGAGTATGTCTGGGGGGGAGGGGAGGGGAGGTTGGGGGAGAGAGGAAGGAATAAATAGATTTACCGTTGAGTGAAGTAACCACACACTGACAGAACAGAGCAGAGAGTGAGAGGGAGAGGAGGGATGCGAGGACTGTCGACTAGAACTGTTAAACAGTGTGATGCAGAATGAGGAAAGAAGAGGAGGGATGGCAGGAGGAAGAGAAATAGCCACTTTCAGTCGGACGCCGGCACCCTGTGAGGGAGAGAAAGTGTCTCTGGCGTCTTCAGACCACAATCTGCCAAGCATCATAGTCCACCCTCCCACCTCCACCCCCTACACACACACACACACACACACACACACACACACACACACACACACACACACACACACACACACACACACACAGCAACTGTTCTCAGCCTGCTCCACCATGTAAATATGAGCCATCTCTTCTTGTTCATTGGCAGACCCAGGATGAGTTTCCGGCTGTATGTCTACACATCCCCTCTGCTTCTCAGTCTGCTTTAAATCTACTCCTGGCTTACATTATATAGCAGAACTGTATCATTTACATAAACGCTTTATTCTGTTTTCAAGTGTTGATAAATTGGTTAATTGATTGCTAATAAATCATGTCATTTACAATCAAATAAGTAATTAACACTTCAGTTAAAGCTGCACTATTTTTCAATGAATAATGGGTCAGATGACTATGTGTAACTTACAGAGAATCATCACTCTTGCTGTTCCTCACATCTCCATAGAGCGTTTTAGCATCTTTCAGCTCATTGTGTTGGTTTAATGGCTCACGACTTTAATGTTTTTGTTCGCTCTCATCAGCTTTGTTTCCAGCAACAACAGACAGCTGTTTGTAAGTGTTGTAAGTAAGCGTGTAAGTGAAAAAGCTCTGACACACTCTGCACTAAACAACAGACAAAATTAATAAAAGTACACAAAATCCAAAACAATAAGCTGATAAAAAAAAAATGAAAGTCTGAAAGCTGCGCCCACATCAGAGCTGAAGCAGTCACACCTTTCAGGCTGTACAACTGCACACACATCACACTGTCAGTGTGTCCAGCAAACCACTTAACTGTGCATTTATTATGTATTGAATAATCGATGCCAAGTGTTGCTGCTTACAGGAAACTCTGGAGCTCACGCAGCTCTTTGATAAGTCACCTGATATGACTTGGCAAGTTTGTCCCGGGGGGTGAGGGTGGGGTTCGCCAGGGTGCACTCTACTCGTAGAGCTGCATTCCTCACATTTTAGAGTCGGGAATCTCCTCTTTTAAACAACACATTTAACCTTCCGATATGTATTTGTGTCTTCCTTGCAGTCATATGTTTACTAGTGTTTTGTTCAAGTTCATGCTTGAAAACATGAGCTTGACTGGTCCCTTCAGGATAGGAATTATTTTGTGTTGCATAAATGAGACTAGATCTTGTATTTCTGTGGTTTGTGGAATACAATCACCGATAATGACATTATTTATTGGTGTATTACAAGTACAAAATAGAGTAGCATGACATTGACTGAAATTAGTTTTATTGCAATATTTCAGTTTTTACCAGCCTACCATTATAAATGATAAAGAATAATCTATTCTTGTAGATAATCTGCAAAATGATCTGTAAAATTGGAAAATAAATCACATGTGAGGGGCAGACTGGATGTATCAGTGAATTTGTGTTGTTTGATGGCTGCCTCCTGAGTCTCTGGAGCCAGAAAGTCTATTATCCGACTTTCATAGACGCAGCACAAACTGATGTCATCATCTCACTGTAATTGCATCTCAAGTGTGTGTGTGTGTGTGTTGTAGAAGTAAGTGACGTCACCATGCTGTGTATCTGTGATTTACACAATTTCTATGTCAAAACAGAAACATTTAGGAGAGATTACAAGTTTCTTGTAAAACTTCTCATCCTCAGTTGTTTACACTGTGAATATTTCTTATTCTGCTTCCTTGAGGCAGGGCAGACAAGATATAGTTTGTTTTACAAGGAGGTGAGCAGCTAATAAAGCTAATAAAGCTGCACACCTACTTGAATATCACCTTAATGAAAGAAAAACAAAATCACAGCAGCACAGAAAATAACAATTCAAGAGGGGAACAGGAACTTAATTATAGTAAACAGTTAATTATAAGTAAGTGTCCATATTTTGACCTCTGTTATAACAACATTATGTAGCTGTGGAAATGATAATGTTTCTTTGCAATAAACAGAACAAAACATAAGAAATATTAAATACAATAAATGCACAGCAGGACATAAATACTTATTTTTGATTGTCACTAGCATTGAAATGTTTGACTGCAGAATAGAAGCTCATATGTTTTACGTTGTTTACGTATTTGTGGGGGGAGAATATTATTTTTTTGCCACCAAATCTACTAAAAAAGTTCATCAAGGTCCTTTTTAATGTATTGAAATACATTTGAGGGCATGAAAACATCGAAGTTTATAGTTTGAATCACATTCAGAAAGAAAACATTGTGGGGCCACAAGAGGAAAGAAATCTACCAACTCTAATAGAAAAATCAATACTCAGTCATTGACAGTCAGGTTCAATTTGCTCAGTAAAAAGAAAACATACATTTACCTTTAACAGGCCCTGAATATCATTTGTGCCTGATGTGGAAAGTGATTACACTCCTAGCAAACACTTTCTGGCTCGTCGGCACTGTAGTGATGACTAGGTGAAATCAGCACTACACACCTCCAGTTCATGGCCACATACGGGTACTTTGAGCTTCTACGTAGAATAACAAACAACCGAATCAACTGGAGCACGAACTGCTTCCCCTCGAAGCTTGAAAGATATGACATGCACGCATGGTTGAAATAGGTGTGAATTGATGCACACCCGTTCACCCTTCAGACTATTAATAGTGCTCTCTTGAATACTATTTCCTGTCCCGCTGCAGCTAATGAGAATAAAATAAACGGTTCACCTGTGTGTGCTGCAGGTGGGGAAGGAGACAGTTCAAACCACGGAGGACCAGGTGATGAAGAGAGACATGCCCCCTGCGTTCATTAAGTAAGTCTGTTCTTTGTATTACTTCCTCTGCCACTCTCTCACCCACAGTCACTCACACAAATACACAGAGACAACATCATGGAAATGGTCCACTTTATCTCAGCAGACAGAGAACTTGTTAAAAAGAGGATTCCAGCCGATTTAATGTCAGGAAACGTGGCTGCGTTCCCAGCTGCAACAAAGAGCCACTTCTGAGGCTGAGCCCGGGTGACAGTCCGGCTCCAGCATCCAGACTGCTGAGAGGCTGTTTGTTGTTTTCCAGCTTGCATCCAAAGAGCTGACTTGAACTCTGGTTGCCGGCAGAGTGCTGCTACTCAGCAATCCCAGGAATCAGACATCAGGCTGTGTTTGCTTGCCTGTATGTGCTGAATTTGTGTATTCATGCTTTTACTTTGACTTTTTTCCACTTCTCCCTGATTCCCCTTTTCTGTCGACAAAATAGTTTTTTTTCGTTTTTCTAATTACTATTTCAGTTTTTAAGAAAACCACCAGACCAGACCTCGAGCAGATCCACACACACACTGCTCTCTCAGGCCCACTCGCACATACAAGGGGCATTACACCATAAATCTCACTCACAGGGCTTAGAAGGGGGCGTGTGGGAATGTGAACCAGCCTAAATATAGATGAACCAGCAGCCATCGATACCCTGACCAATGGGGTCAGAAAGAGGAGGGACTTGACTTTATTCAAGTGCTTTTCAAATCCATCACTTTCTTCAGGTTAAAGTAATCATTGATCTCTTATTGAATTGGTATGAAAGCCCCAAACTCTGACCATTTGTGCATGGTTGTTTAGCAGCATTAAAGGTTACATTATATTTAAACACAACAAACTCTGAATCCCAAATTTAATTACAGAGCATTCAAGGCTTTGTCATTACTCTTCATGTGTAGTTAATTACCTTTTCAAATGCAGAAAAATTTGGTGCACAACACATTTCCCCATGTTTGCACCTTGTAACATCTTGTAAGCCTTGTTGTTACCAGGAGATCAACTTCTTTAACAACTGGCAGATGGTTTTCTCTTTCCTGATCTATGTGATTTACAAGGTGATAAATTCCTGTTATAGGTAAATGTATATGCTTGGTTTGATCCAGACTGCTCGTCTTAAGCCCGCTGTGTTTTTTCAGGGTGGAGAACTCAAGCTCTAAGCTCGTCCAGGCAGCTCAGATGCTAAAGGCAGATCCATACTCTGTTCCTGCACGAGATTATCTGATCGATGGATCCAGAGGGATACTGTCTGGAACGTCCGACCTGCTCCTTACCTTTGATGAGGCAGAGGTGTGTGTGTGTGTGTGTGTGTGTGTGTGTGTGTGTGTGTGTGTGTGTGTGTGTGTGTGTGTGTGTGTGTGTGTGTGTGTGTGTGCGCGCGTGTGTGTATTTGTTTGTCCTGAAAATCCCTCTTACTTCAGACGTGTGGCATCTTTCAGGGAAATAAAGCTTTATATAGCTGCACAGAGGAAGGAGGAACTCAGCTTAGAGCAAGTCTGTAATGGAGTCTCAAATGCAGCCAGATCTAATCACTGAGATCAAATGACTTCCCTCTGTCATAACTCAGGATGTGTGTTTGTGTGTGTGTGTGTGTGTGTGTGTGTGTGTGTGTGTGATGGCTCTTTCTGTTTGTATGTGTGTGAGAGGATATGGTATGTACCAGCCTGAGTGGCGTGTGTGTGTGTTGAATGTTTGATGGCAGCTTCATAAGTGGAGTCACATTGGGCACGTGATAATGCTCACCATGTCTCATCAGTAGCCTCATTTTTGAAAGAGCAACTTCTCACAGTCACAAGATGTACATCACAAGACTGTACACACACACACACACACACACACACACACACACACACACACACACACACACACACACACACACACACACACACACAAAGACACTGCACAAACAACAGGGTAACCTCAACGCTGTCTAAAAAAAGCTCATGCACACAACAGTGAATTTTGTTCTCTTAATGTAGTTTTCCTCTAATTACCGTTATCAGCCGTTGTTTCATGCCTGTATACATGCTCTCATCTGCCTGTGATTATGTCTGTGTTGTGTCCCAGGTGCGTAAGATAATTCGTGTATGTAAAGGTATCCTAGAGTATCTGGCAGTAGCTGAGGTGGTGGAGACCATGGAGGACCTCATCACTTACACCAAGAACCTGGGACCAGGTCAGCAGGAGCTTTCTTTTTTTTTTAAATACTGCAACTTTAAAGCTGCTACAACTCCATGTGGTTCTTAAAATGTCGCTGTAGGGGTGAAGTTGAGTCCTAATAAAATATCCCCCATCCGAAATGTATTTGAGCACATACATAGTAGGCATTTTCATCAACAAAAGAATGTTTAAAAATTATATTTTGGGCCCTTTATTCAATAGTTAATAATAGAAAAAAGTGTGGAAATATGGGGAGAGAGGGGGCATGCAAAATCAAACCAGGGATGTTGCAAAGGACCTCAACAGTACACATGAACTAGAATGCGATTTTTGTATCTTTCAAAGAAAGTAACTTAGTAAACAAGTATGTTTTACTGTTAACAAGCCAAGTGAGTAATAAATTGCCTCAAAATATGTAAAACATCTTGGGTTATTAGAGTTAATATGCAGTGACAGCAGCAACAGCGTCTTCCAGTTCAGAATATAACAATTAGTCAAACAATCAGACAGAAAACAATCTCAAAATCTTTTGAAAACCAAATAATGGAGCAAAAAAGGACGAAAAATAATAATAGGTAATTTTTCAAGGAAAAAATGTCATTTTTCAAGGACAAATGCCGAAGATGTCCTTGTTCCAGCGTCTAATTTGTGAGAATTAGTGTTTTTTTAGTTTTTTTTATGTGGAAGTAAACATATGGAATATCTTCACCTTGAACTTCTGAAGGACATTTTTTACAATTTTCTGTAAATCTATGGATCAAATAATGAATCGATTAATTAAGCAAATAATCAGCAGATTAACTGGTAATAAAAGTAACAGTTGCAGCCCCATTAACGCTGTGTGTGCTTGATCATCAATAACAAATGCATCAGTCAGTTGAGCAACTGGATTAAAAACCTCATACATTCAGTAAACTGTCCCGATAATTACTGTTGTTTTAGTGATTTAGACAAACAGGTTAATTACAAAAGCATCACACTATTTGGCATTGGTGGTGCTGTTTTATAAGAACCACCACTAAAACCTGAACTGTGTAATCAACCTTTGTTTTAAACCATTCTCTGGGTTAAAAACCATCTCTCATGATGAGAAATTAAATTAACTACCGACTGCTCCTCTGACACTAAGATGCTGTGATTAAGGATCAGAGTCTTTTTCCCTGGCAGGAGAGCTGGACCGTAAACAGGCTATTTATCATCAGAGGTAGAAGGTCAATTGTGTTGTCGGTGCACAGGGGCATAATGAGCTGGAGGAATCTGATGCCAAGGTTTTCTCACACTTGACTGATGCTTTCATTGTGCGAGATCAGTCGTTCATGAAGTAATGATCTGTGTGGATGTGTTGAAACTACTCAGTTGGTGAAAACACTGGCGGATGCCCCTGGGCCTCTGATTGTTGGAGCGTAGTTAAAACTGTGATGCTAACATCAAACTCAAGGTCACTATTATTTATTTATTGGAACATACACAAAAAGGCGACAGCTATCCAATTCAGGTATCATAGTGTTTAAAGCTGATGCTAATTTGCAAGGGCTCTTATTAAGAATTTGCTGTATTCTACCTGCTGCTTGGTTTGATTTGAATGACCTCTAACTTTCACAGCACCATAAATTCTCCCTACTTTTCTTTATTTTCCTCAGGGATGACCAAAATGTCAAAGATGATTGAGGAGAGGCAGCAGGAACTTACGCACCAAGAACACAGACAGATGCTCGTCAACTCCATGAACACTGTCAAAGAGCTGCTGCCTGTTCTTATATCAGGTGTGTGTGTGTGTGACTGTGACTGTGTGTGTGTGTCTGTGACTGTGACTGTGTGACTGTGTGACTGTGTGTGTGTGTGTGTGTGTGTGTGTGTGAAGGCAAACGACAGTGCAGGTCACTGAGCATCCAACAGTCGTTATAGCAACGCTGATAATTACAGTAATTAGTTGCTGGGGATGTCAGACTGACTAAAGGCATACATCGCCCACTAGCTGCTCTGCTAGTATCTCTCATACTTTATACGGCACCAGCAAGGAAGAGAAACACCGTCACAGCTCTTGCGAGTTGTACATTGTTAAATGTGTATATAACGTCAAAAAAGTTTGAACCGACAGTTTCCTCTGTCAAGATCACAAACTATTTTGCAACTTAACTGACTATAATCAATGTTTTTACACACTGGATCACACGACTGCTTGTGAAAGGAGTCACAATTAACTGTTTTAGTATCTAGTATCATTGATTTTGTTATCCGACCTGCAACTTCAGTGTTTCAGTTCACTCTCACAATCTTGGCTGCTGAAGGCCGATGTTTTCTGTAGGGACGCTCTGACACTTCCACTTTCCACCACCAGGAAGAGTCAGATATTTCCCTCAGGAGTTGGAGACATTGCTTTGTATCTGCCAGCTGTATAAATGATAAACTGATTGCTAACAAGTGAATGATAATATCTGATCATATTCTGATACTACACTGCTAAGGGGGTTGCTACAAATAGTAACTTTAATAAACTGTTTTTTATATATTTTTGGATGAATCAATGCTCCTGCTTGTCTGTAATCATCAGTTCTCACGTTCTCAGCTATAAAGATTTTTGTGGCCACCAAGAGCAGTCGAGGTGCCGGCGTCGAGGAGGCAGAGAGGAACAGAAGGTTTACCTTTGAAAAGATGAGCGCTGAAATCAACGAGATCATTAGAGTCTTACAGCTCACCACGTGGGATGAAGACGCCTGGGCCAATAAGGTACGACCTGTGCTGCACATTTGAACTCTGAATTTGAAACCACCCCCCCCAAAAAAAACAAAAACAAAACACAATTTAACAACTCAGATAATCACTTTTGCTTTGGAGTGCCTGTTTGCACACACATAGCCACACACGCGACCCTCCACTGTGCAGCAGAGAGCACCTCCAAAAAACAATTCACTCTTTAATTTCTGTCTCCACTTTTCTTTTTGCTCGGTAGTATAACTCCTGGTTTTTCTTTTTTCTTTTCTTTCTTTACCTTCCTCCTCCATTCTTTTCCTCCCTGTAGAAGGTAAGCCTGTTTCTCTCCCCCTCTGCGGTTTCCAGCATGCAAGTGTGTGTGTGTGTGTGTGTGTGTGTGTGTGTGTGTGTGTGTGTGTGTGTGTGTGAGAGAGAGAGAGAGAGAGAGAGAGAGAGAGAGAGAGAGAGAGAGAGAGAGAGAGAGGAGGAAATATGTCCTCATGCTTACATAGTATGTATCTGTCATGCTGGTATATAACAGTGTGTAGTGTGTTTTAGTCCACTGACTGTTATCTGACGTGATGATGTTCACGTACTTCATCACTATATTGTTGTATGTGCATCTGTTTGTCTCTAGATGTCCATTTGAGTCAAATGGCTTTAAACAGATGAGTTATTTAAGTTTCTAAGCTGAATAACTTATTTTTTACAACAACTGCTTCAGAAATTAAACCCATCTTCAGTCGTGGTGTTTTCCTTTCTCGTGCTGCTGTTTACTGTGTGGTAGAGCTGTCAGTAGCACAATAAGATGCAGTTTTTAGGCAGAATATGCTGTATTGGAAATGTTTCGGTCGCATCAGTTAGAGACTGTGCCATGAGATCATTTACTGGTAAAGTTAACATCTGTTTCACTAGTCTAACCTGTAACCCTGCATGTTTCTCTGCACACAGCTACCTCAGACAATGATCTGTTTGTTTGTGTTTGTGTGTGTGTGTGTGTGTGTGGACATACCGCATACTTTTTGTATAAGCTGTGATAAGCACTTGCTGTCTGTGTGTGGGGTAACTGCTGGCACACGATGACTGTCCTCCTCTCAGGTCATGAATTATAGAAATAAGCTGGTCGGCGTCCAGACACATCCATAATAGATGGGCTGTATTGAACGGTTCCACTTAAGCGGTTCATTCTCCTTTGAGCTGGAAAAATGCTTTTTTTTCTCCACCTGTTATAAAGCAATGAAAGGGTTTGTGGCATTTTAGATGTGAGACCGTTACCCTCCCTTAAATGTCCCATCTTCCCTTTTATCATCAGTAATGATTCTTTTTGACATACCAGTTATTAGTCGGGCGATAACTATTTTTTGAAAACTGTTCCCACTTTAGAATAAAACGTAAAAGCTTGCGCTGTTACTAATGACTTTATTTAGGGTAAATAAATAATTTACTATTGCTTTATCATAATAAACGTTAAAAGTAACTTTTGGGTCACCAGGTTGAAAGCCTACAGTTAAGTAGGTAAGTTTGGCTGCAGTAACTATTTATCAACGGCAGACTAAGACACAGTGGAAACAAAGTTTGCAGTTACAAATGTTTGTAAATCAACAATAAATCGATCATGATTAACTTACAATTTCTCTTTAAAGGGAAAAGCTGGTGATATTTTATGTTTGTCTTACTGTCAACAAACACTGAACTGATCCTACTAACAAGTATTGCTTATGCTAGCCTAAGCCTCATATAGCATAAACATGGAAGCTGAACATCAGCATCGTTCTGCTTGCTGTAAATACTGACCTGCACAGCAAATGTGTATTGATCCGTCAGCTGAAAGTAGTTCCCAACAAAAGCACTATGTCTTCCTGTTTGAAGCTGATTTAGGGTAAATTGGGTAGCCTTTTTTAATGAACTTACAGCCTGTGTTTGTGGCTAATTTTTAAAAAAACATCTTTTGTTGGACTAAATGGACTCAAAGACACAGGCAAGAATTTGAAAGTATGAAGAGACAGAATGCATTGTTTTGGGTATTTTCATGGACTTTGTTGACAGTAAAAAAACTATAAAATTACTCCTATAACCTTATTCCTTTAGTGTGGACTTACAACCTAGCAACCCAGAGTTTCTTATTGTTAGAACAGTAATGAATTAGTAACTAAAAACTACAAAGGTCATTACTGACAACTCTTTATTTATTTCTCTTTACTTCAGGATATGGAGGCTTTGAAGAGATCTCTGGCTTTGATTGAGTCAAAGATGGCACAAGCTAAAACCTGGCTCAAAGACCCCCATGGACAACCAGGTAACTTGTGCTTTCTACTGAAACACTTAATCAGCTTTTTATTAGATGTTATTCCACACTGTGATCCTGTGGTGTGTCCTCTTCCCCAGGAGACCCTGGCGAGGTTGCCCTGTGTGTGATACTGGATGAAGCTGGTAAGGTGGGTGAGCTGTGTGCTGGGAAGGAGAGGAAAGATATACTGGCAACCACTAAGGCTCTGGGGCAAATGACTGACCAAATCGCAGATCTACGAGCCAGGTAGTCTTTTTATATGAGAGAATTTGTCTTGTTGTCATGTGTTTTTGTCATCATGTGTCAGCTGCGTGTGTTTTTCTTTCATGGCAGAGGCCAGGGCCCGACCCCAGGGTGTGTGCAGCGTGCAGGCCAGTGCTCACAGGGCTTAGACTTATTATTTGGCAAAGTGGACAGTGCTGCTCGCAGACTGGAGGCTCTAATCAATGCCAAGCAGGCCATTGCCAGAAGGCTGGATGCTGCACAGGTCAGATAAAGCAACAACAACAACAACACAGTAATCCATGTTAACCCTCTCCCCAGTGAATGACACCTCCTCCCCTGCATTAAATTTACCCTCTTTCTGTCTCTTTTGTTCGATTAGATTTCCAAAGCAAGCGGTTTGTAATTTTTAGTGAGTAACTAAAAGCTAACGTGGATAAGATAACAGCTAAATGCTTAAAACATACAGTGTTTAGTGACCCTTTCCCATCCTTGAAGCTCTCTTGTGGTGTTTCTGTACATATTTATGTTGCTGATTTCATCATCCATATGTGTGCATTCTTTATTAGGCCTGGCTGGCTGATCCTAACGGCGGCCCTGAGGGGGAGGAGAACATCAGAGCGCTACTAGCAGAGGCCAAACGCATCGCCGATCTATGTGAAGACCCCAAAGAGAGGGACGACATCCTGCGCTCCATCAGTGAGATCGCAGGCCTCACTGCCAGACTTGTGGAGCTACGCAAACAGTACGCCTTCCTTCCTCTGACACATGCACGACCAATGATGTTTTGTGAATACTTTATGTAATTCATAGACCCTCTTTTTTTAGGCTCAAACTGCAACCTCATGCCACCAATAGCTGGCACATTTTACCTGCTTGGAAACTATGTTGTTGCCTGTCAACCCTTGGCATCAGTCCTACAATAAGGTTTCTAACTGTTTGAATATGGTGTGATGGTGTCATGGGATTTTTAATGCGGAAGAGGATCAAAACTTTAGTAGAGCTTAAAGGAAAATACCACTAAATTCAAGTTTCATGCCGCTGAATTTCATATTTAAAATACATTTCAGAGGCAGCATTGGGTTTAGGAAAGTTAATTTACTAAATGGTACTGTAGCTCAGTGACTCATCAGAATATATTTTCTGTACTCCACTTCCACTGCTTGTATTGATCATAAAAGGAAAACAGAGATAAACATGAGTAAATAAACAAACTGTTAGCCACATTGATAAAACTGTGGATCTGGACTTTAAAAGGAGAAAAATGTGACTTTACTAGTAGAAAAGAAAATTTTAGGGATCTTCATACATTTTTGTGACTTGTATAACATGTGGCCATTTAGATGTGTAAACACTGTGTGATCTTATAAGGCCACAAAAGAAATGCTACATGTAGAAAGTATTTAATATTTCAAACTAATGAAGTGTGTATATAATATTTTACTCTTTTGGCTGTAGATGTAAATAATAATGAAACTCATCATATTAAAGAATAATTGTCCTGAACTAGAACTTGTACCTTTATGTCTAAAAATATTCTCATAATACAAAGCAGTAATAGTCTGTCTACAAAAGATAAAAATAAATGTTGACGAAAACAGATGGAAAAGTGGCATCACGCTTTGACAGTGGCATTTCCCTTTAAGTTGGTGTCTAACATGATATGACTTTAAACAAGTGATGGGTCAGAGGTTTGTATTTAATGGATAATGTAATGAATCTATCTGTCTTTCAAGCCTTTTTGTTTCAAGTCTCAAATCACTTCTCTATCTGTTAACTGTGTCAGGGGTAAAGGTGACAGCCCGGAGGCCCGTGCATTGGCAAAGCAGATTGGGGCAGCCCTGCTGACCCTGCAGTCTAAAACCAACCGGGCTGTGGCCAACATGAGACCAGCCAAACCCGCCGTCACCTTGGAGGGCAAGATGGAGCAGGCCCTCCGCTGGGTGAACAATCCCGGAGTGGACGACAGAGGAGTAGGTGAGCGGGGGTTGGGTGACGGCTCCAGGGAGGGATGATGTAGTAGTTTGGTTCAAAAATAAATCCTCTGACCTTCCATGGCATTTGTCAGCCCACTGTATGTGGGTGATGGAGAGTGTATGTAAGTGGTCAAGGCATACGTGGGACTCTTTTCGCAATTATCCGACAGATCTTAAAAGGCGTGAGGTGTTGGTGGTTCGTTCAGGAAACTGCAAAAGTTGCTAGGTATTTAACATTTCCGAATGTGGTACAGAAATGACTGTGCTGGTGACTGATGTCTTATCCACAGTGAGGTATCTCATGCATGAATCACTGAATGACTAACTTGGCTTACTTTATCATTCAGGGAGCAATATATTGTTTTGAATGGTTTGTTTGATGCCTTTTCCTGTGTTGTCATTTTATTGTTTCCTATTTCCTCGCATGCTTCCCCTTTGGGAGCAGAGTGTGAGATACTACAGTGGAACACAGGTACCTGCCCACGCTTTCTTAGAAGATATAACCAAAACTCTAGTGAATTACATAATGACTTCCTAGTGAGGTCAGCACAAACCACAAAATAAATACAGCGTCCCCTTCTGATTAATTTACAAGAAAATGTATATGAAGTAATTTGTCACCCTTTGTATTCCACTTATTAAGCAGTTTAGAGATGTTTCATGTCCAAGTAAAAATATGTAACAATAATAGGCTCTTATTTAGAAAAGAGCAAGACCAAGGTATATTGTATGTATATATATATATATATATGTATATATATATATAGAGATAGATAGATGTGATGTGAGAATGACCCTGTGTCTCTCCCTAGGTCAGGCAGCAATCAGAGGAATGGTTGGAGAAGGGAAGAGGCTGGCAGGAGGTCTGTTAGGTCCGTATCGACAGGATATGCTTGGACGCTGCGACCGAACGGAGGCTCTAATGACATCTTTGGCAGACATGGCTGGCAGGGGTGAGGCAGAAGCCCCTCATGCAAGAGCTACAGCCGCACAACTGCAGGACAGCCTCAAGGTAGCTCAACAGTCTCACAAACACACTACAAATTGATTAAGATTTAAACTTCACTGTCATTGCAAGGTGATGCTGTAAAGTCAAACATTGTTCAGAGTTTTTTTTTTAATTAGATCACAAAGTGTCCAAATATGCCAAAAAACTTGGGTTTGTATTATTGTATTGGTGCAGAGCTCCACCTTGTGGACTGATACAACACTCTCTGTTTCTACCAGGACCTCAGAAAACACATGCAGGAGGTGATGACTCAGGAAGTGTCTGATGTTTTCAGTGACACCACCACCCCTATCAAACTGCTGGCTGTGGCTGCAACTGCTCCCCCCGATGCCCCCAACAGAGAGGAAGTCAGTGACATACAAAAATCTGTGCTGGTCACAAATATATGCTCCCAATGATCCATCCCATGTAGCTATTTCTACTGATTCCATCCAGATGATGTGTGTGTGTGTGTGTGTGTGTGAAAAATGGGAATGTTTTTTGTAGGTGTTTGACGAACGTGCAGGGAACTTCGAGGCCCACTCAGGTCGGCTGGGGGCAACCGCAGAGAAGGCTGCTGCGGTGGGAACAGCCAATAAGAGCACAGTAGAGGGCATACATGCTGCTGTGAAACACTCCAGGGAGCTCACACCACAGGTGCCAGTGTTTGTTTTGCCGTCCCTGATTTACAAGATTGCATACATGGGTGAAACATGTAGCTGTCAGAGAATTTTATACGCAACCTGAATGTGACTTGCTTTGTTAATGTCCAGGTGACCTCTGCTGCTCGGATCTTGTTGAAGAATCCTGGAAATAAAGCAGCCTACGAGCACTTTGACACCATGAAGAACCAGTGGATTGACAATGTGGAGAAACTCACTAGTAAGGTTTTTCTCTTTCTAGTGCTACTTAAATTACATTTTTTAATTGATTTTAAAGTAGTTGCACTGTTACAGCAGCCTGCGATAAATAGATCTCTAAACTACATTTACATACTGTAGCTGAGATATGTGTGTGTGTGTGTGTGTGTGTGTGTGTGTGTGTGTGTGTGTGTGTGTGTGTGTGTGTGTGTGTGTCTCTTTCTCAGGTCTGGTGGATGAGGCCATCGACACAAAATCTCTGTTAGATGCTTCTGAGGAGGCTATAAAGAAAGACATCGACAAGTGCCGAGTTGCCATGGCGAATGTTCAGCCCCAAATGCTTGTTGCCGGGGCAACAAGCATAGCAAGACGAGCTAATCGGGTCCTTTTAGTGGCTAAGAGGGAAGTGGAAAACTCTGAAGATCCACGGTTCAGAGACACAGTGAAACATGCTTCAGACATCCTCTCACACACCATCTCGCCCATGGTGATGGATGCTAAGGCAGTGGCTGGGAACATACAGGATAAAGGTACAGGAATACACTGTGCAAACACGAACAAGATACTGTAAGACACAGCATGACACGGGTTTATTCACTCTCTTTATGTGTCAACCTGTCCTTCACAGCTCTGCAGAAGGCCTATTTGGACTCTTGTCTGAGGATCCTGGGTGCAGTTGGAAAAGTTAGAGAAGCCTTCCAACCTCAGGAGCCCGACTTCCCTCCTCCACCACCTGACCTGGACCAGCTCCATGTAAGCACATTCAAACACACGTATTTCCTACTATCCACAGTAACACTCCACTTCCTTACCACCACTTATTATTTGATGAATGCATTAATACAGATGCGGGGAGTGAAAAAGTCATTTTTCATTAGCTGTGGTATCAGTGACCTTGAACTCCAAACTGCTCCAGTGGAGCTGCTCAGTTTCCTGCAGCATTATATATTATATAGTTATATTGGGCAACCGTCAGGTGTAATTGTAAAAGTGAAGCTTACCTAAAAGGTGCCAGTGCAACTCTGGACTCTGCTTATTGGTCTAATTCTTTGTCGATTCCCTTAATGAGCCCACCTAGCCCCTGCTGTTAAGTTTCTCTTTAAAGGTGCAATGTTTAGACTTTTTATGATACAACCAGAAAGGCTTTAAATACGGTTTTATCTGAATATCTACCCCTCAAACCCCCCTTTGTTCCTGAAATACATTTATATGTAACATATGTTTGTCTATGTGTGTTTTCTCCAGGTTAGTGATGAACAGGCGCCACCCAAGCCCCCCTTGCCAGAGGGTGAGGTTCCCCCGCCTCGACCTCCTCCTCCAGAGGAGAAGGATGAGGAGTTCCCAGAGCAGAAGGCTGGAGAGGTGCTCAGCGAGCCCATGATGGTGGCCGCCAGGCAGCTGCACGATGAGGCACGCAAGTGGTCCAGCAAGGTCAGTTCACACAAACAAGACAAATATAGTTTGCATATTTACCCATTCACCATATTCAGACGTGTATTATTTCAAAATAATAATAGCATACATACATTTTGGGGTATTTATATTATATTTATATATATACTAACATAAATATATATATATATTTATGTTAGTATATATATATAGACATGACTGAAATTATCCCAAAGTGTTACTTTTTCTCTCTGTTGACCATGACATTATACACTTGTCCAATGATGAAGTACATTTTCATATTCTGTGAATATCCTGAAATCAAGTCTTTCCTGAAATCACGTTGATTCTGAAATGTGGAGATCAGTGGCTCGATTCCAATTTCAGAGGGAAACTGGAAACTGTCATCTGTTCGAGGTGTCTGCATGTAAGGTTGTTAATGGCTTACACATACACTCTTACATGCAGTAAATATAAGAGTCATCTGTGGAGAGACAGTACAGCCTCCCATCTATAGTAGAAGAGAAGTTTGTATTCTTTGCACCGTTATTTTTATTTGTTTTGTGTCTATGCTCTGTATTTGTGTATTTTTGTGTGGAGGAACTGTGTAAGGGATCAATTATTTTGTGTAACCATTGATTATCTAGGAATAATCCCCTCTCGCTCTCTTTGTGAAGCTCACGACCGTTCTCCCCTCTATAGCTCTCCTGGCAGTGTTCCACGCCTGTTTAATGATCTATGCATCACAGCGGTCTTTGGAAACCAGGCACAAAATATGTCTACTACACGCCACTGGGTCACACTCAGTTTCCCAGCACACTGCTAGACTCCTAAATACACTGTAAGGATGCCAACCATGGGTTTTTGTTGCCGTTAGACCTTATTTGATTGTGCACAAGCTTTACAAACTCAGCCACTGCCAGAGTCAGAGATAGGCCCATCATCCACCTGCTACCTGCCCAAACCAGCTCCTCTTTCCTCTTTTATTTCCCATCTTTGCTTGCGCGTGCAATTTCACCTCCCTTCTACCCTGCTCCTTCACAGTGCTTGTATTCGCTCCTCCTCCCTCCTGTGAATCTCCTGTCCTCTGTTCTTCCATGCAATGCCTCCCATACTGTACTAAATACCTCCTTTTCCCATGCTTCCTTCCCCCCTGCCATCCCTGGCTTTCCCCTTCTTCTCCACATTCCTCCTTTTTCTCCTTCTCCTACCCTCTGCGCCTCCCCTCCCGCCGACCACAGCCAACAATCCCCCCCCCTCCTCCCCGCCCCACCCCTCCTCCCCGCCCCACCCAGCCTGAGGATGAGGAGGCAGTAGAGGAGAGGGAGGTAGATGATGAAGATGAGTTTACTGATGGTGAGGATGACTATGAGCCAGAACTGCTGATGATGCCCTCCAACCAGCCTGTCAATCAACCCATTCTGGCAGCTGCCCAGGCTCTCCACCAGGAGGCGCGCAAGTGGTCCAGCAAGGTCTGCGCACGCACATGAGTGCACACACAACCAGATGTTGTAAATGGCTCCCAGTGTTTGACCACACACACACACACACACACACACACACACACACACACACACACACACATACACACACACAAGCATGCAAACCACACAAGGAGAGCCCTGCAGGACAAAGAGACACCATTTGGAGTACTAGCTGAGTCACTGTGGCTGCACAAAATGATGAGCTCTGCATCTGCCGCTGCCATGGAAACCTCCAACCAGCTGTGGCTTTACTGTCGCTCCATTACACTCAGACATGGTTGACACACGGTTATGCTGATGCCATGCTAAGGTTGTAGTAAAGGTCGAGGATTGTTGGAATGGCAGGTTTGTTTGTTGCACCACATGGATAAACTGGTATTGGCTTCACACGTCCCTCCCTTATGTTCACGATTAGGTAAAGTGGTTTAAAGGAGGAGCAAGGCGCTCTGTCGCTCTGTTATCGCTGTTGTCAATCACTCGTTGTCTGGCCAACCTGTGAAGCCAAGGATGACAGTTTCCCAAAGACTTCTGGGTGATGTAGTTTTCACGTTAGACCGCCTGCTTGCCTGGTTTAATCACCCGCTTCTGCTTCTAAGTGTCAGGGTGTGAACTGATCACTCCAGCACTGAGAACATCACCTCATGGGTACTAACCTCAGGTTTACTGCGATGTGAGGGAGACGGTGGGAGCCTCAACACTGTTTCCCTCAAAAACTACAGATACATTTCTGAATTATCTTCTTCCACTTGTGCTAACTTGCACTGACACTGCATGCAGCTTTCTGCTTTTAATGTAGTGCCTTTTTTTTGCTTTTGTAACTCAAATCCATTCATTCAAAGCAGTAACCTTCATCTAGTGTTTCATAACACTGTTTTTCATTATCCTACATTTTGATTATTATCAGAAAAACATGTGGAAACATTATTCAACATGTTTCCATTGCATCCTCATCTCAACATCCACATCCATGCTCCTCTCCAGTAACCTGCTCACAGCTCTCACTGCTTCCTCCTCCACCGCCTCCCTCCTCTTCACAGGGTAACGACATCATTGCAGCAGCCAAGCGGATGGCTCTGCTAATGGCAGAAATGTCTCGGCTGGTGCGTGGTGGAAGCGGGAACAAACGAGCACTGATTCAGTGCGCAAAGGACATCGCCAAGGCATCGGATGAGGTGACAAGACTGGCCAAAGAAGTGGCCAAGCAGTGCACTGACAGACGCATCAGAACTAATCTGCTACAGGTAAAGAAACAAACTCATACTGGCACAAAATAAGAGTGAAGAGTCCCAGACGGGTTTTAATAATTCACATATTTTTCTTCATCCAAAGGTGTGTGAACGAATCCCCACCATCAGTACTCAGCTGAAGATCCTCTCTACTGTCAAAGCCACCATGCTGGGACGAACAAACATTAGTGAAGAGGAGTCAGAACAGGTAAACTCACATAACTGCACATAACTTGCATTCAATTAATGTAGTGAAGTAGAAAAGTCCAGTATTTCCCTCTGAATTGTAGTATTTGAGTGAACATAGAAATACTCACGTCGAGTACAAGTAGCTCAAAATAGTCTGTAGGCAGGGTTGGGACGGTTACTTTAAAAATGTAATCCAATATGATTAGAAAATGTCATGTAGTCAGTAACTTAATCCAAGTAACACAATATTAAAGTAACTGAACACCAAATATGCAAGAACATTTTTTATGGATTTTACGTATTCTAGATAACAGAGCAATATTACAAACCAAGAGTTTTAGCATCAACAATGTGTCCTCTGCTCAGTGTATTTTTTAAAGAAAAACTTGCTTTTCATTAAATAGATTCAGACAGTAGCCACCAATAGAAGGCAGAAGGCACACAGTACTGTGATGTTGTTTCCCTTTCTGCTTCAAAGACAAAATAAATGTGACATTTCCACCTGCTGAAAGCATTTTTTCCCACTAGAGCTCATGATCATGAATTGAACTGTAAGATTAGCTATGGTTTCTCTCAAGACCAGAGTGGTGTTGTAAATCCCAAACCTATATGTAGGTACAGTACTTCAGCAAATGTACTTACTCTGTGTCTACTTCCATCAGACTCATTAATGCCTGAGCTAGTTTGGGCGTTTGACCCAACTTATTATTTATTTATAGACATTCTTAGGCACAGTTATCCTCTCTGGTGGCATTTTAAACATTTTAAGACATTTGAAACCGCACTTATATGTTGTCTGTTCACTTATGTATTGTGTATGCACTGATGCCTTTACACAAATTCAGTTCCTAACTATTTTGATTGATTGATTGATCACTGATAACTTGTCTTCCTTTTGTTCCATCTCTGTTATTATTTCACCCCTAACTGCTTTATTTTCCCTGAACCAGGCCACAGAGATGTTGGTCCATAACGCACAGAATCTGATGCAGTCGGTGAAGGAGACTGTCAGAGAAGCAGAAGCAGCCTCCATCAAGATCCGCACGGATGCCGGATTCACCCTTCGCTGGGTGCGCAAGACCCCCTGGTACCAATAAACAAACCCGGTCACCGAAAACTAGTAACACTCTTGACTTGGCACCGATAGCACAAGCCGCGAATAAAAGTAGCAATGTGCATACTCATCGTGAGTAAACGTGTGCACTTCCTCAAGGAGGAAACTGCAGGTGATTTCGATCCATCCTCCGCTGTAGTTTGGGTGTGTCTACCAGGAAGCATTAGATAAGCAGGTTTCATTTATCAGACTGAGTTCAGCTTTGCTCTCCAGTTCCCTTTATCTGTATCTGTGGAATCACGCAGGCTAATCGGAGACAGTTTTTAATATATATTTTTGGTATGTTGTGTTACAAGAGTTTATCCAAATCCCAGGTATATATTTTTTGCATGGAAATTTTTTCTATTTTCTAAAGGTATATGATGACAATAATATACTTATCTCCTAGAGGACATTTACTTTTGATTTAGTTTCTTTTTTCTTTTTTTTTTTCAGTGAGAGTTTCTTAGCGTCTATTGTATATACAGTAATTATTTGTTTTATGGACAACACTCAGCAATGAGCTTTATACACCAAGTTTGACACTAAACTGTGGAGTCTTGTGTGGGCTGACGAGCTCTCCTCTCTTCATGTTTACTTTTAGTAATAACGCTGTTCTTAACTGAAGATCTATGAATTCACAGGTGATACATCGATACTTGAAGAACTGAAAGGTCTTCTGGATTAAAAGCGTTATGACTTATAGGCATGTATGGTTGTCAATAAAGTTTTTTTTTTAGATTGCAGGAGGGCTTAACAGAGGTTTTCACTCGACTGTTGGCAGTAAGAGCGACAGTACAGTAAAACTAGCTGAGGTGTTTTTAACGTGTGTTTTGAGTTCTTTGTTTGAACTTTATTTACCTTTCACAGTGAACAATGCCAAAGGATTTGTTTTACATTACTGTAATCTACATACATTTTTTTCTTTTTTAACCATTAAAAATTCAGGTTACAACAAGACAGATGTTTTTTCTTTTGAGACCCGGAAATACTTTTTAAGGTCTTATTTTATTGAGCAAAAAAAGAGAAAAAGTTTTCTCCTCTTTGCTTTTTTTCTTGCTTTCTTTTTTTTTACTAATCGTGGTGCTTTGTTTCTGCACTATCTCTGTAACAGTTGAACTGTTTGAATTTTTCTTTTCAAAATTAATCAAAACAATGACTTTTAGACAGCCATTCAACATCCTGTTTTCTTTCTCCATGTGTGAGCTCAGTGATCCCACTCTGAATGCTCGGACGCATCATTTTAACTCAGATTTTCTATACGACCCCGGTGGTTTGAGAACTAAAACAACCTTTTTATGTGATATCAGGCATTGATGCCAGTCTGGCAGGAAAAGTTTTTTAGGTTTAAATCTTAAAAAAAGAAAAACTGTTTATGGACTATTGTGTTTATGGAGGAGTGTTTTTGTCTGGAATAACTACACAGCAGTTTAAGGAATCATGATTGGTAACTCAATATCACACGTAATCAGATGAGTGAATGCACATTTTCATTCCCTAAACAGTATTTTATCAACTTTTACTACGTATTTTTACAATGGCTGGGCAAATTTAACTGTTAAATGGAGTATGTGTGTGTGTATGTGTGAAGCTTCTTCACTTGAACAGTATTAGTGAGCCGTTCCCATGATGGTTAGAGGAAAGAGCTCTGAACAGCAACACAGAACGTTAACTGCATTTTCATCTTCATTTGGGCCTACTGAGCATGTAGCAGCCACTGACCCCTCACTGAGAGCGACAGGGTGTACTTCTGTGTGTACTTGCTGTGTTCATTCACACCCTGAATGTATTCTGATAGCTTCTAGCCCTGCCAACACATCTGCTGTGCCTTGGAAGAATAAAAGACTATAATGATGACTGGAGTCAGCTTCTTAATTTGCCTTCCCAACGTCATTGGTGCCATAATTATATAATGAGTGTTGTGTTGTGGTGGAACGAGACTTGTCGTCTACAGCCATGTAAAGGGATGCTTTGAGCTAAATGCTGCTAACAAGCTTACAATGACAATGCTGAAGTTTAACATAGTATGTTTATCATCTTAATTTAATGTGCTAGCATTCTAGCATTAAATGAGCGTTGAACTGTACTTGAACTTGTAATTTAATAAACCAAAGTACTGTATAAATTTAAAGGACCAGTGTGTAGGATTTAGTGGCATCTAGTGGTGAAGTTGCAGATTGTAACTGACTGAACACTGCTTGCATCTGTATTTGACATTTTTGGGAAGGAGAATGTGAAAATTTGTGCTGTGAAATTCGTAGAAGAAACTACAGTGGCCGTAAAACTGCCACGATTCCTATATTCAGGTGATTGTACACTAATAAAGACATATCTGTGCATATTATATTCCCTTTTTGCCAGCACATCCTCATAAATGATACACACTGGATCTTTGAATTTTGACCTGCTTTGGTGTTGCACGTTTTAAAGAGAGCTCCAGTGATAGACCTACCAACTGATAGGCCAACAGTGCCGTAAAAAAACACACACAGCAAGACACAATTTTAAGGCTTTTATAAGACATCTTATACACTGAATTGCTGATTCAACTTCATAAAAGAGCTTTAAGTAGTACTTTTCACATGGACATTGATTGTGCAAATCTTGTGCTGAGTAAAGAAGTTGCATTCAAGATTATGTGAGGATCTTGTAGATTTCTGAGTGCTTTTTACAGTTGCTAACACTGAATCACTTGCTTGTATCTTGGCCTTGCGGGGAGTTGTGCACCCTCCCTTGGGCAACCCATATACCTTAGATAAGATATATTTACTCAGATATACTCAGATCTCCAGTTTGTGCTGAAGTGTGCTGTACAAAGCATCTTAACCTACCCTTAACAAGGCCACATTAAAGAGTGAATGTGTGCAAAAATGTTTGCACTTAAGACAGCTACTCAGAAATGGATATTAGATTTTTCAAAAATAAACAAATATGTGTATATATATATATAAGTATAAAACTTAACACGTTATCTATATGTAAAAGGGTTTTCAAAGGCATGGCTGCATACTCTCAGGCAACATGCAAGTAGGATTGTACAGGCGTGTTGAAGTAGTGAGGAGCAAGGTGAGCTGCGAGTGTCCCTTTTCAAACCGAAATATTCCCCCTTAGGTAACACTCAGAAGGTGTTAGACAAAAAAAAAAAAAAAGAAACAGGAATGGTCCTTACAAGGCAGCACATCTAAACTGGATAGAAACTAAAAGCACTTCAACAAGTCACACTGATTATTAAGGCTTCCCTTTACAGGCCACAAACACAATCCAGTCGTATATATGTAATGCCAAACACATAATAAATAACTGTTAGAATGCAAAATCGTTCATTAATAACAATGAGGATATGTAAGACTTATTGGAGAGCTGACTCAGCAGGGTGGTAACCTTTCCCACCTATTTGGCACATTCGATTGTTGACCGCCATCACTCAGGTCCGCACTTGGAATTTCCCAGCTTTGGTCAAATATTTGACCCCTTTAAACGGCTTGTACTTCTCTCCGTACATGTCAAGACGACTCACCTTAAGACCTGCGCAGAGGGGGGAGAGGAAGCAAAGTGAGCAATCCACTAGCATCAACTGTGACAATTTCAAACTGAACACCATCACAACAAACACAGCGTTACTGCTACCAGAACCAATAACGTCCTTAACAACAACAGGAAGAAAGAAAGACAGAAAGTTACATTTTTGGACTTTAAATTTGGCACAGTTAAAAGATTAAGACGTCATGATGTAGCGAGGATTACCTGATATGGCCAGCTGCTGTATCTTCAGGTCAATGTTGAGTGAGGGGTTGTCTTCAGGTTTGGGGACTCCCACCTGCGTACTCAGACTGCCTCGCAGGTTAGGAAGCTTCTGGGGGTTCAGTTTCCCAATGTCCCAAACCAGCACCTACCGAAACATAAGAAAGTCAGTGAGTAAGGACGATAAAGCAAAACGCTTTCTATTTTTAGCTGACTAAAGATGAAGGATGTGGAAGGTCTTCTGGCCTCTGTATTACTGCTTAGGACAGCCTTGTAAACAGTTGGTTACCTTGGTAGTGAGGTCGTAGGTGTAGGTTCCCTGTGTGGCGGTGAGGTTGGCATTGAGCACAGCTTTAGGCATGTGGATAGTGACCATCATGTTCTCCACCGTCTTTCCCATGGTCTGCTTGGGTCCGATGGTGATGTCCAGGCGACCACAAGGCCCCGTCTCAAAGAAACTGATGCTCTGCTTCACGTACACTGGAATGGCCACGAGACTGCGGAAGGAAACAGACATAATGGAGGACAATAAAGAGTCAGCAAACCAGACAGCAACCAGCCTGTGTTCATGAGTTAACAAGATAATAAGTGTGGATTGTGAATGCTGAAATTAAACCAGAATTTCCTCCACTCCTCCACACTGAAACCCAAAGAAAATAACAGGACAAAAGGTTTTATTGTTGCTGGAGGATTTTGTTTACCAGATCACATTATGCACACGACACCAACATCATCTATATTCGTCACACCGGCTCATTATTCACACACAAACTGATAGATTTCATTTAAAAAATTTTTTAAAAAGTCTCAGGACTACACCGAAGACTGTGGTGTGAAGACTTAAGTTTCTTTAAATTATAAATAAGACATATGGCTGTGCCTGTGCTTACTTTTGAGAGCTGACATGATAGTTCATGAGTGTGAAGTTTCCATCTGGCGGGATGAAAGAGAGGACACGCTCCGACTCCCAGCGCTTAAACCGCACACACGGATGGAAACTCACATCATCGAGGAGTCGAGGATTCTGTCATCATAGACGACAACGTCGGCGGGTGAATTTTAGACTCAGACAGACGCACAAGCAGATCATAAAAGCACATAGAGGAGCTAAGAGGAAATGAACCAACCATAAAGGACAGAGTGAGGTCAGGCATCCCAGTGAGCCTCACACAGGCTTCAATTACACCCTGGATCTCTGCAAACACTGTCGTACCTGAATAACAAAGATTGAGGGGATGCAAGTATGTTTAAAGACGAACCAAATCCAAATCATATAAACCAGGAAAAACTGCTGTGGATGCACTCTTCATTTATTGTGATTAAACAAAAGGTCGTCGTGTACCTGATTTGTCCAGAATTGCATCTATTTCCTCTATCACATCAAAATATGCCTCATTATTGGTGTATTTAACACCCGCCCGCCTCCATGGGACATTGGACAATTGACCTGTTGGCAACGTGTCTCCAACATTACTACTTCCTGAAGAAACACACAGAACAAAGGCAACAACATAAATGTAGACTTAAATATTACACATTTTAATTTGAAATTTAGTTTAGCGATAAGTAAGATAAGAGATAAGACAGAAGGTGGTGCAGCTCAGAGTCAGGGTCACTTTCTGTTTACCTGTGAGTGTATTGACAACCGACCGCAGGATGGTGGGAGGCCTGATCATCTCTTTGAGGACGTTGGACTCTGTTGCCAGTGGAAAGCCGTTGTCCAGCATCTCCTCCAACAACTCGTACACGGTCACAATGTTGTCCTTGATTATGCCTTCGGAGCACTCTCCGAAGTAGTCCTGTCGACACAAAATAATCCACATTTACTGATTTGTCAGTTGTGTTAAAAAGCACCTTTAGTCTTTTCCACCTTAGCTGTGTCCCAATTCCATAATACATACTAATTATATACAGTATTTATTATATATATATGTTTGTTTAGTACGTTGTTTCCGCAGTGAGTATACAAGAAATCTACAAACTTTACTGTTGTACTGAAAGGAAATTCTGCAATATCACAGATGTCAAACTGCAACGTTGGACAGCCACTTTAATAAACCCAGTAAACCTACTTAACAAAACTTAATTAGTACACTACAAACTAAAAACCTGGTTAGAATTACGATGCAATATGGGATTAATGCCACAGCTCCTGTTCACACTCGACACTCAAATGCATCTTGGGTAATTTAAAACATAAACTGCACCATAAAAACACAATAGATAACCTGCAGCTACTTTGTTTAACCAAGATAAACTGAGGACACACTCAGGATCTGCTCCCACATTTGGACTGCGTCAAACTCTGTAGTCTGTATAACCTTTCAAATAGTCAGATACAGCTAGAAAAAAAAAGTTTTTAAAGTTCTCAAGCTATGAAATAAATGTGGTATTTTTCTTTCTCGCTGTAAGGTCAAGAGCCAGTGTGTATTTTCTTTGTCTTCAGCACTTCAATTTCCTGTAACATCAGTTCAGGGAAGTGAAGTGTGATCACTTGAGATGCAATCTGAAGTCCGATGTAAATGCAGTCCATATAAACTACAACTACACCAGCGGTTCTCAACCGTTTCACCGTGTCAAGGACCCCTAAATTAATACACATTAGCCCGCTGAAGCGTATTCTTTAAGATGTAGTCTCAGAGATCCTCGTCTGATAAGATTTAGTTACTGCAGATTAACAAAAAAAAGTGAAACCTATGAACAGAATAGTGATTCTTATCCAGTCTCTCATTGGGTTAACCTCTGGGGACCTCTCAGGGGCCCATGGGGGTCCACAGACACCAGGCTTGAGAACCACCGCTTTGTTTTGAATGCAACCGAAGACTTATAAAAACCTGGCGTCTTCACACCTGAATCGTGTCTGCCACCCTGTGCAGGAACTCGATGACAAACAGCGGAGCTACTTCAGTCTGGATGACGGACAGGAAGAAGAGCTTGCCCCTGTATATGGAGATGAGATAGTGGTGCGGGGTCTGCAGGACAGGGGGCACATTTTCTGGGTCCACCGCTTTCTCCCTCGCCTCGAAAAAGTAGTCACACACACTCCGGCTGATGACACTCTTCCAGTGTTTCTCCAGGAAGATGTCTCCAGAGTGATTAATCAGGAACAGACTGTG